GTGTGCAAATACAAACATGTTAAGAAAATTCCATAAAATAAAAATTATATTAAGTGTGTAATGGGTTGAAATAAATTACATCCAAGGCCTCCATTATAGGCTTGTCAGTGAAGTGATTTAATTTGAGCCCAAAGGACGTTTTATTTCACAGTTCACAAGGACGAATCTCCTTCGGGATGGTTATAGTGAGCTATTTCAAAAGCGTACGGGCCACCCAAAGGTGGACGTATAATTTTGGTAGTAAACTTAGTACCAATTAATGAGTTACGCTTAAAGTTCAAATAATGACGATAGTCCCAAAGGACAAGGTCGTTTTTATTCTTTTATAAAGATTATTCTTTTAAAAAGTTAATTGCACTGGCCAAAAGATGAAACCGACTATTAGTTGAGTATTGCTGGGCAGTATGTCTAGCTAATGGGATTTATCCCTCCTCTTGCGAATGTTTGAACCGTAGACGTCCACACTCTGTGGCCTGCGGGGATTCGGTGTTTTGAGGTGTTGGTGAATTTATTCAAATGTTGTTTAATGGGATCAATATTTGATGTATAAATTCAAAACTACTTGACTGAGTAAAGACTATGTTTGCATGATCCCAGGAATTCAAAATGTCTTTCAATCCGTTGTCCGTAATTCTCAAAGAAAATAAACTTGTTGGTCCAAATTATATTGACTGGAAAAGGAACTTGGATATAGTGTTAACTGCTGAAGGGTACAAATTTGCTACTGTTGAGGCTTTTCCGGCTGTGCCTGCTGACAATGCACCAGACCAAGAGAAAGAGGAGTATTCTCGGTGGAAAAAGGCTGACGAGATGGCGAAGTGTTACATCTTTGCATCGTTGTCAAATGTACTTCAACATCAACATTAGTCTATGAACACTGCGGCGGATATGCTCCTCAATCTCAAGGAGTTATTTTGTCACCAGTCACGGTGTAATATCCCGTTATTTTATCAGTATAAGTTATGTTTTAATTCCGATTCATTAATATTGTCGAGTATTAATTTTCGGAATTAATTATTTTCAGTCGAGATTACCGAAATTTATTTTCGACGTACCGTTTACGTTCGGAATAATTTTGGTAATTAAGTATTATGCTTAAAAGTTAATTAAGCATAAGTAAGTGATTAATTAAATATTAATCACTAATCAAAGTAATTATGTCGTGCTAATGCTTCCAATTCTTTTCAAAAGCAGTACAATTTGGCAAAGTAAATGTCTTAAGTTGGGAGTCATTTTACTCCTCCTTAAGTAAGGACACATGTCATTTTAAGAAGGTAAAATGGGAGATTAGTCACCCATAATTTATCTAATTAGTTGGCAAGTATTAAGATTAAGAGAAGGCCACATCTCCATCTTGTCATCCATTCGGTCTTAATATAAGTAATGGGTTGGGATCAAATTTTCCCAAACTTTGCAGCTCTATACCCGTACCATTTAAGCTACTAGTTCCAGTAAGTGATAGTTGAGTATTTTGCTATCATCTTCCAAAGTAAGTTACTTCCTTCGGTTCGTATATATTTATGAGTGTTTGGTCCGATAAATTCCCATCCCTTTATATCATATACTAGTTGTAATATCCCGATATTTTATCGGTATAAATTACGTTTTAATTTCGATATAATAATGTTATCGTTTATTATTTTCGGAATTAATTATGTTCAGTCGAGATTACCGAAATTTATTTTCGGCGGACCGTTTACGTTCGAAATAATTTTGGTAATTAAGTATTATGTTTAATTTAAAAATTAAACATAATTTGAATGATTAATTATAATTAATCACATCATTAGGCTAAAAACCGTGAGTTAGAAGGTGAATTAGCCCTAATTCTATACTAAGGCCGTGGGATATATATATATATATATATATATATATAAGTGTTTTAAGTCCTAATTCCTAAGGCTTAAAAAAAGTTTTTCCTCCCATTCAAGCTAAGCCACTTGTCAATTAAAGAGAGTGATTAGTCATAAAAAGAGCTCATAAGCTTTAAACAAGTGCCAAGCCCTAAAGTTGGCCACGCCTCACCTACGTCTTCACCATCACTCCCTCGGCCGAATATATATATAAGGGTCATTTGATCCAAAATTTCCCCATTTTTCTCTTAAGACAAGCAGCATATCTCCTCCTTCATATTACCCCTTCAGCAGCATTTGAAAGTTAAACAATTTCCTTATAATTTTCTATCAATCGCACGGCAAAGGAAGCTTAAGCGCACGGCCACGCAAAGGACCAAGGATCACGCCTTATTTTCGAATTTCAATCGAGCGATCAGAGAGGTAACCTTTCCTTCAGCTTGTATTCAAGTTGATAAGATAAATTTAAGGTTAAGTGTTCGATCGATTTTCGAGAATTTCAAGTAAAGACATGCTTATAGCTGTACATGCCTAAGTAAGATCACGACCGAACAACTTCCGATTTTTCCCGGCAACTCTCGAACTGTTGATGTTTAAATGTTCAGTTTAGCCTAATTTATGTTCAATAAGTTCAGAACGGTCGAAGCAAAATAAAGTTTGTTGATGAAATGGCCCAAGCCGACGCTAGCGCCTATCGCGCATGGCCTCGGGTGGCCTCGGGCCGTGTCATGTTGCTTTCAGTAATATTCATGTTCAGCCATGTGTTTGTATCCTAAATTGCGTCATATTAATGTTCATGTTGAGTTGTTCTGTTGTTGCCGTGGAAAAAGGTATTTTGGCCGGAAGACGGCGAATAGCCGTCGGCGGCGCACGGCGCGTCCGCCGCGGCCCCTTTCATGTTTATCGTGCAAAAGTTGTGTTTTCAGGTCATGATTGATAATTATATGTCATGTTAAGTCATATTACGTTCAGTTATATTCAGTTTGGTCGAGGACTTGGCCGAAGGCCGTAGGCCTCGCACGTAGCGAGCGCGCCACGGCCGGGTGTTAGGTTCGGTAAGTAAGTTCAGCAATTTCTGTTTAAATTCAGTATCATGTTCATGTTAGGTCAGAACAGGTCTAAAGAAGTCAATTTGGTCGGAGAAATTGCCGGACGGCCGGCAAGGGCCGGCCGTGGTCGCGCTGCCGCACACAGCGGCAGCAGCGCATCGGCCAGCGTCAGCGTGAC